GAGCTTTCCTGTCACTTCTAGGTGCCCTCAAGTCCTGCTGGAAAAATTGTGGAATAATCCATGTCTTGAGCAGGCTTTAATCTTGCTCAATTTTGTCTTAAACAGGTGTGACATTTTGAGGACATACAGTATTTTCCTGATGCGGCTGCATGTGGTTTATACAGTGTGTGCTATGGACAAAGCTCAGAACCTTTGGCTGAAATAAATGTTCTGTTGTTATAAGAAAACTCCTCATTGCTGAACCAGGTCTGCACCACACAAGGAGTTAGGATCCCCCAGTAGAACTCCCTGGCTGCTCTTACGCACAATGAAACCCAACGCGAGAACCTGAATCTGTTGCCCAGTGAAGGCAACACGCGACATCCTTCTTCACAACCTCTCACAAACAATTTTCTGTGTATGCTTGGCAGCAGCACTTCCGCGGGCACAACAGCCAGGGACTTTAGTCGCTTGCCAAGGTCTGTGGAGGTGATCCAAGATGACATTTAAAAAGGAAAGCTGTTGTCTTGATTCTAAAAATGGCCCATGTTGTCTTCCCTTCCAAAGGCCTGTAGTTCCCTGGGTCTTCCTTTCTCCCTTTCTTAAAAATGGGAGTAATATTTCCCTTTTTCCAGTCTCTGGGGACCTCCCCAGACGGCCAGGATTCTTCAAATATGATGGAGAGCGGCTCAGCAACCACATCAGCCATCTCTTTCAGAACCCCACACATCTTTGTGGTACTTACACATCCTTGATCAAACTTTGATGCTGATGCACAGCTTCTAGGAAACTCCAGGATAGTAATGAATAAGATCACATGATTTAAAATTGCATAGTTTTAATTTTGCTTGGGTCGCAGCTTGTTATGATGCTGCAAATATTTCGTGTTCTGTGGTTAAACCATGAAGACTGTCTTTCTTCTCTGCTTTTTGTTCAGGTGATGTTACTGTACTAATTGATTTCTGGCTTTCTGTTATCCTCTGAAGTTGTCTGTGAGAACCTTAAAAACAAAAAAATCAAAGTAAATGGAAGGCTTAACTCCTCTGAGAAGCTGTATCTGCTGCAGGAGCTGATACTGGTATGCGGAAGCTCTCCTCTGGGGACTTCACTGGGTAGGTTCTGCATATGGTTCAATTCCATAAATACGTTGTCACCCAAAATACATAGGGACACCAGGCTGCTCGTGACGGCTCATCACTCAGGCTCTTAAGCAACCAGCAATCCTGAACCCTTCCTTCTGTAAGTGTTTTACTTACACTGGATTTTAGTGTTTCACGTGCTTTGTGTCTGGTGCATTTATCTATGTAAGAATTGGTTGGGTGGTATTTTCCCCGTTCTTACAGGGGAGCAGACAAGCGGAGGAGGATTGCCTGGAGCCGCACAGCCGGCCGGTTAGTGTGGGACTCCTACTCAGCCTCCCAGATCACGCTGTCTAGCTAGCTCTTGTTTTTTTGACTTTTAGTTTATCAGTTTGCATTTAAGTGCTCCCTTAGAGCTGTTACATACCAGATTGGACTTTTTTTAGAGGTAAACAGAGAGACTGGGGAGAAAAGAGATGAAAAGTAAGATGGTTATGAGTGCATGAGACCTCCCACAGGACATGTGATTGCATTCTAGCAGCTTGAAAATAGGCTTATGTGGGACAAATCCTCCTTCCACAGGCAGACTGTGGCACCTGTCTGTGGCAAAGCCAATCTCTTCTCCTGTCCTTTTTTCCATTTCTCCTTCAGGGTTTGCGTATGCCAGAGCTCTGGCTGGAGTAGACAGGCTGCCAGTGATTCTAGTTAGCAAACATGCCTGCTACAGGTTGGTCTGCATTTTTGCTCCAGAAGACAAGTATGTGTGGCTCTGCTAGGGTGTGCCAAAGGCAAGCCACAAATATGCTTTGAGCATCCAGATTGCTATGTAAAAACATGCTAATTAATGCCAACGGATGTGAGCCAACAAAGGGATGGTCTTCTCCTTCCTTACTACTGCCTTATGCTGTAGTAGCTTCTCTTGCTGCTGTTTTTACCACTCCCATGTCTCCTGTGAGACAGCAGTTCAACCTGCCCAACTCCTCTAGCTCCACTACTGTTGATGTCTTCACCTGCTGAGCCTTTTCCAAAAATGCCAAGTGCAGATGGCTCTACTAGAGCAAGAAAATGCTTTTCCTGCTTGGTGCCTGTATGACCCTG